TGGATTTTTCGTAATTACAATGAATTATCCATCTTGGGTTTTGTTATTTACCCATTATGATATGATAAACCCCAGCCAACTACCGACCCCATTTTTATTTCCAATTTCACATGGGTTTTTATTTTTTGAGGTAATCGGGTTCTCTGGGTGCCAAAGCAGCTTGCTAGGGAAACTTTGGAGATAATGGGGTTGCCGGGGCCGGTGGGAGGTGACGCCGACAACGACTGTGAAGAAAGAAGGGATGAAGGGTTGGGTGGGCACAGAGGAGAGAAGGGATGGAGGTTTGGGTGGGAGTGGGGGTTAGAGTAGCTCCACCGGAGCTGATAGCCCGATGGACTGCCTAACAAACAGTCCCAAATAGCCTGAGCAAGAAGGTCCAGCCCAAGCTGGCGATTGAGCCCGAGGGAGAAGCCTGTGGGGAGTTGCTGGCCCGAGAGCCTGGAGTAGATATGCTGTAAGGCTAACGTTGCCCTGACGTCAGCCACGTTCAGCTTCTTTTTTGCATCAGGCACTGGGGTTCACGTACACATGCTTTCGTCAGTGACCATTGGAGGCCACGTGGCACCTCCTAGCCCGTTGGATCTCAACGATAATTTTTTCTATACTATTGGATTTCCAACAGTAATAAAAATTTTAAAACCTTATTTAATTTTAGCTATTGGATTTGAGATCAACGGTCCACGTTATTCACCTTTATAAATTAAAAAAAACAGTTTAAAATTGTGTAATCATACCGTTGTGTCACGTGTTACAATCTGGAGTGTTGGAATTCAAATTTTTTTTAATCCAACGATAAAGATTAATTATATGAATAAAAAAATAAAAAAATGTAAAAAATAAATAAAAATCCAAAAAAAAAAAATTTGAAGAATTAAAAAAAAAATTGATTTTACTTTTCTATAAATACCTTCTCACTATCTTCTACCTTACACCACAATTTCATATTTTCTCAACTACTTTCAACCACATTCCTATCTTTCTCTCAAAGTTTCAATACAATTTTTTTCCAACAAAATGGCTAATGATGCAGATAAGAATTGGATGCTCATTGAAGATGTTGCATTGTGTACTAGCTGGGTTGAAGTTACTTATGATTCGATTATGGATAATGAGATGCAGTTGCGAGAAATGTAGAGTCTTATTCATACCAATTATCTTGAGAAAATGGGTGGGAAAAGAACCAAAGAATCGATATCCAGTTGTTGGAAAATACTTAGCCAATCGTTTAGTATGTGGAGAGACGAAAGCCCACGGAGCGCTTAACAAGTGGGTGTCGTGGGGCCTAAGCCCAAAACTCGGCTGGACAGGAGGCGAGCCAAGTCACAAGAGGAAGGTGGCCAGCCTTCCTAGGCTGCTGCATCCGGTGATTTGCATGCACGGGTGTACCATCCACATGGAATGGGATCCAATGCGGCGCAACCATGAGGGCTGGATCCACTGCTTCGTGTTGCAAAGGGACACCAAAGCCTTACAAGCTAGTGTGATGCGGGCCGAGTGATGTAGCTTTGAGCTACTGCAGGCGGAGGCAAAAACCAAGCCCAAAGGGCAGTAGGTAGATCAAAACACCCTAGCGCAGCTGGGTGTTGTCGCCGGAGAATGTGACCGGTGATTGCGCTTCAGGCGACTGCGTTTTTGGGTTGGGGACCTAGGTGCCAGTTCGTGGTTCGATGGAGAAGCGATATTCTCAACGTTCACACCCAAAAACCCTAGATTCGATGGCCAAATCAGTGTTCTACAATGAATGCAGGTCGGGAAAGTGAGCACGTGGCGTGGAGTGGTTGCAGGCCAAGCACTGCCGTGGTTTTGGGGACGGAGACGCCAAGGAATGATGTCGGGGTTTTGGTTTTGAGGCTTGAAGCCCATGGCTCCTAGGCTGGGTTCTCGGCTTGGTGGCTCGACGGCGCGGCTTCAAGTCGCTACTCTCTATGTTCCAAAAAAGATCTATTAGGGCTGCAAAATTATCAAGATAATAATTGTTGTTTTGGCATATCTTGATTGTAATGATATTGATGAACTGGTTTGTAGCAGAAAATTTCACGTTAGATTCTTTAGCATAGCGGAGGGGTGTGTTGATAGCGTATTGTGGCCAATTTATTTGACATGGGGGAAAGATGGTGCGGCAAGAGAGAGAGAGAGTGGAAAAAGTGTAAGGATTTCTCTATGTGTATGAGATATGTTATTCTCCTTCTATAGTGCCTTTATTTATAGTAATAAAGATGAGAGGAATACTTGGATCCTCCAAATAAATACAATCCTAGTAGGAAAAAAAAATACTAATAACTAAATTTATCTACGATTTACACCATCACATTTTAATATAATACGTATAACAAGTTACCCCTCCATCATTTTATGAATCTAAGTTAATAAATATTAAAAACAAACCCGATCGATCACTTTAAATTTTTAGAGGGTCCAACTTCCAAAAGAAAGATGGCTGAAAAGGCAACGCAACCTCCCATAGCGATTATTGACGGGCACGATTCTATTGTATGCTAATAATCTTGATTGGAATTGAAAGCACTAGTGAATGTGATGGATTAGTTCTTATTTGGGGAGGGTGTTATGTTTGGTCTCCAAATTTAATCCATCTTCCAAATAATTGCACATTTTTAGTGATTGATTTATGACCATGTCGAAAGGAAGAACGTCTTCTAAACTACATGCGGGCCCCATAAACTTTAAAAGAATCCATTCAATCATACAAATTACAATTATATGATACGTGGTTTTATTAGCTAGCATGAGCTGACTTTGGAACAATAGTCATTCACGGGGAAGAAGAACCCTTTTTATTATTTTTAGCTACCCTTAAAAGAACTCGAACTTAATTTTTATTTGCTTGTTGTAACTTAAAAGTCGTTACTTTATTCTCTGAAACTCAAAGTTCGCTTCAATTTGCTTCTTGGAACTCGAATTTGTTCCCATTTTATCTTGAAACTTGAAAAATCATGTCTATAAAACTTAAAAATCGCTCCACATTATCTTAGATCTATTAATCTCTTATATGAGTTTAATTTGGGTGCACCATGCTAATCAATTTATTTATTTATTTATTTTTTTCAACTCTTCAATTTCTTTTAAATTTAATACTCTATGACGCATAATAGAGATCCATAATCAAATTTTATTGCACATGTGACATGTCTTATATGGTGTTGGGTCCCACATACATTTTAAGAGGCTACCATATTAACTAGAAATACAGAGTTTGACATTGATCAAAAATCTTAGAGAATGAAAGAAGGTCGAAGAACCAAAGGAAAAATCTCAGAGAACTTAGAGAGGAAAAATACTTCACGACTCTTGTATTTTTTATTAATTGAAGAGTTATTACAAGAGAATCCAATATAAAGGACTACCACTACTTTCTTAATGACTAAGCTACCCCTCAACATATCTCACTAAATCTTATCAAAAGTTTTAAGTAAAAGAGAGTTCCCAATTCAAAGTGAAGTGAATTTTGAGTTTTAGGGAGTAAAATTGTGACTTTTGAATTACATGAGGCAAAGTAAGATCAAAATAGAGTTTCATGAAGTGCAGCTAAAATTAAGCATGTTAGTTATACAAAAATAAAAATTGGCTTTTATTATTTAAATATTTTTAATTCAAATGGCAATATTTAATTAGACTTGTAGGACTCAATTATGTACCACATCACCAAAAACAAAACTTTTGACAAAATTATGACAGAAGTACCACATTGATTTGCGACATTTATTTTCAAGGACTACATTGATTGTACATTGAATCGATTTTCAATTTTAAAAACTATCTTGATAGGGTGAGTCAGTTTCCAGCTTTCAACGACCGATTGTGATAAAAACTCTTTTGTTTTGCTTCCTAAAAAATGGAAACCTCATAGCTTTAGCTTCCTTTTATATATATATATATATATGACCCTTTTGCTCTACAAACTCATCAAGCTCTCTATCTATATATGACCCCTTTCCTAAAAAATGGAAGGCCATCATCTTATTCCTTTAGTAGTACTATTAGCTCTGCTTAATCCCCAATTATGCAGTGCTAATGAACTTCCCAGCAAATCCAACACTCAGTACATAAAAAGATCTTGCAGCGTCACAACTTATCCGAAATTGTGCTACAACTCGCTCTCAATCTACGCCGGAAAAATCAAGACCAACCCGAAAGTACTAGCACGAACTGCTCTCAATGTGACCATTGCAGCAACCCAAGAAACATATGTGACCATGAAAAGGTTGTCGAAAACCCACGGTTTGAATCCCATAGAGGCTGCAGCAGCGCTCGACTGTGTGGAGGAGATTGGAGATGCTGTTGACGAGGTCCAAAAATCAATCGATGAATTTGGTCATGTAGCTAGAGGATCAAATTTCTGGGTTCAAATGAGTGACATTCAAACATGGGTTAGTGCTGCATTAACAGATGAGGACACCTGCATGGATGGCTTTGATGAACATCACATGAGTGGAAGAGTGGAGAGTCTTGTCCGTCGGTACATAGTGAACGTTGCACATCTTACGAGCAATGCTTTGGCACTCATCAACAGCTACGCCTCGGCGTCAAATGAACCGTTGTTGCCTTAGATTCTGTGTGGTTCTCAGGAAAGGTATGACGGTCGTAGAAAATAAATTCTACGACCGAAACGGGTTACTTGGTACTCAAGAAAGAAAGAAAAAACCCAACATTTGGTATGTGAGAAATTGCTTTTGGTTTTTGTGAGTGAGTGTTATATTCAAGAAGACCAACTCTGTTTTTTATGATTTTTTTTTTTTTTTTTTTTTTTTTAATTTTGTTGGGAGTATGAAATATTGGAAAGTAAATAGCCAGATGTACACTACGCCAAGATGAATATCAAGCCATAATTATTTTATAGGTCTTTCTTCTTCTTTTTTTATTTATATATTTAATTGTATTTTTATTTATATATTTTTATAAACATAGTGCAATAAAGAAACCCAATTAAAAGAATTTACACATGAAAGAAAACATAATAATATAGTGTGTGTGTGTGTGTGTGTGCGCGCGTGTGTGTGTATGTTTTTTTTTTTTTTTTTTTGTTTTTTTGAATACGGATTAGTACAATAAGTTTATTGCAACTCAATACTGTTAGATGCAGATGAAGTTTTATTTAAATTCAATGTCATGTAATGCTACCGTCCTCGAATAATTTGCAGTGGAATCGGTCTTTAATAATTCCTCTCGGCCCTTGATGGCATTGACTAACTGTTCCTGGTTTGATTCTTATGATCTGAGGGAGTGGATTTAGCAGTGGTGCTGCTAGGATCTCTCTCTCTCTCTCTCTCTCTCTCTCTCTCTCTCTGTACTCTTCTCTTTACAAAATTCCCCTATCAACTCAAACCAAAAAGGAACAGGAGAGGGAGAGAAATGGAAGGTTATCTTCTGCATGCAGTAGTGGCTCTGTCCATTCTCCAATTATTCAACTCTAGCACAGCCATCGGATTATTTCCTCCGACAGAAACAAACACCGACTACATAAAAACATCATGCAAAGTCACAATGTATCCTAGGTTGTGCTACAACTCCCTCTCAATCTACGCGGGCAAAATCCAGACCAACCCAAAAGAACTAGTTCATACCTCCCTCAATGTCACCCTTGCGTTCACCCAAGCATGAAAAGACCATTGAAAGTCTACAGTTTGAACCACAATGCATCTGCAGCATTGGTTGACTGCGCGGAGGAGCTTGGTGACGCAGTCGAGATGCTCCAACAGTCGATAGAAGAACTGGGTCGTGTAGATGGAGCCTCCAGCTCCAGGCTTCAGTTGAGTAATATCCAAACCTGGGTTAGTGCCGCATTGATGAACGAGGATACCTGCGTGGATGGCTTTGCCAATCTTCCTTTGAATGGCAAAGTGGAAACTACTGCTCACAGGCACGTAACAAAAGCTGCGCATCTGACAATCAATGCCTTGGCACTCGTCAATGCCTATGCCTCAGCTAAAACTGCCTCGCCTTAGATCAAACAATGACAAGGGCATGCCAATAAATAGAAATTAACTGCTGTGTTCTATTAATAATTCATATGAATACTGTAGAATTTTAATAAATAAAACCTGAAATGACGTCAATGGTAACAGATTTTTACCAACAATCGAATTCTTTACAACTATTCAACCATGGTATGTCGGAAAACATAATAATGGTTTATGAGTTTGAAAGGACCTTAGTCAGGGTGCTCTGCAGAGATGCAACCGAATCTATAGCAGATTTTGTGAGCCAGCTGATTCCTACTTTAAGCCTATGCTCATCCGTTGGTAATCTAATCAAGTAAGCTAATTTCCTCGCCGTATGGCCGATAGGACCTTCTAAAGTTAGCCCCTCAATGAAACTTGGAGAAATAGCAGCATCATTTCTTCCCAGAGTTATCATTTCACCTAAATTCTGAAACCTAAACGGTAAAAGAGGGCGGTCATTGATTGCAGCCCACAGATTCCAACCAGCAAAGTCCGCTTGCTGAAAAGCAACCTGTGCGGTGGCAGGAAGAAGCCTTCCATTTGATTCCCTTAGAGCACAAGAGTCACCAACAGCAAATATGCGTGGATGGCCTTTAACGCGAAGATTTTCATCTGTTTCTGCTTGTCCACGAGCATTTAGGGGAAGCTCATGGGGCCTGTCTTCGGGTTCCAGCTTAGGAAGAAGATATTTGTTCCCAACAGTCCATAATACAAGATCTGCTTCCAAAGTTTGACTTTGCGATCCCCTTTGAGCAGGTTGAAGTTCCAATATATATTTCTCGGAATCATGTTCTGCATCAACAGCTCTACGAATACAGTGGACAACATAACCCAACAGAAGTTCAACTTTTCTCGATGTGAGTACTTTAATTGCAGCTTCCCTATTGCCAGGTGGGGCATTCGGGCAGATTGTGGTTTCCACATTAATTGCTTGTACTATACCTCTATCCTGCAGTCTCTCTGATACAGTGGCAGCTAACTCAACTCCAGAGTAACCACAACCAACAACAACCACACGAATCAAAGATTCCTTACGGAAGTTCTTCCTCTCCAATGTTTTTAACTTACGATCTACCTTATCAGCATCCTCCAGGGTGGAGAATGGCAATGCAAACTCTACTGCTCCTGGTACAACATCAAGCTTTGATTCAGCTCCTAAAGCAAGAACCAGCCAGTCGTATTCAACAAGGAGTCCACTCTCAAGTAGCACAGTTCCCCCAAGGCTGGATTGTGTAGGTCCATAATGGTCAGAGGGATACAATAGTTTGGCCTTATCTTGATGGAACAGCACACTTGTATTTGCCAGTAAGTCTGAGAAACGAGGAGCTATCTCCCATGCGTCTACTTCTCCTGAAAGAAGCTCATACAGCATTGGCTTGAAAACAAAGCGTTCGGACTGGTCAACAAGGAGGACCTGAGGTTTCTTGTCATCAGGCCACTCCAAGGATTCTAGTCGTAATGCAGTATATAGACCTCCGAATCCACCACCTAGTATACATATTCTTGGTTTCTTCTTATCCGGCCAAGAATACAATTGAGGTGCAGTTTCAGCTTCAGATAAATCCTTAACACTACCATTCGACCTAGGTGCACTGGAAGCAATCGCAAATCGAAATCCTTTCTGTTGAGAACTGGCAGATAACGTTATCTTGGTCCCACATCTTCTCGAGAAACTAGGAAACAGCCCAGCACAGTGCTTTGCCCTACAATTGAATGGTAAAAGACTTGATGAAGCAGCTAATGCGGGTGATGACATCATTCGGGGTTTATCTGTAAATATCAAAAAAGAGAGGAGCCAACTGAAACTTCACATTTCCTATTGGCGTAATTTTATAAACAAAAGATCCACTGACATCTCTATTGAATATCAAAGCACACACACACACAAACTTATATAATCATGAACATGAAATCCTTGTTCTGCAAAAGGAAACAATAATGCACCATTTGATAACCATTTCATTTTTTTTACTTTGGTTTTCAATTCTTGTGCTTTAAATATGTGAAAGTATATAAAGAACCATTTCATTTTTTTTACTTTGATAACCATTTCATTTGATGACGAAGGGCATTACTATTGGCCAGTCTTGAGAGCGAAAACAACTTAAAATAGTTTTTGGTTTTCTTTTCGTTTTTAGTTTCCAATTCGTGTATCCTCCCTTATAAATTTCTTCAACATTTCTCCCAAAATCCCTCATCCCTTCTCCTATATCCCCCATTTCTCCCATGTATCTACCTTCTATCTCTAACACAAAAAAAACAACAAACTAAGAACGAAATGGTCATCAAACGGGCGCTAAATTGTCAGATTAAACAGTAAACAAGAACAAATGGGGTGAGCCAGGATCCAATTCGGAGTGGACTAAACCGATAACCAATTCATCATACATCACCCAAATGCACCACATTTACCTTAATAAAAGCAGGATTAGTAAATTAACATGCTATCAGTAAGAAATTAAACATAAACAGATAATTCATAAAATAATTATCATATAAAAGCAAATGCACCCTAGTATTCTCATCGTTAAATTTCAAATTAAACCAATATACAATATTTGTAGCAGAAAGGACACAGAAAAACCAGAAACTCAACAAACAAGAAAACTGTAGAAACAAATTAAAAAGAAAAAAGAAAAAGGGAAATTGGAAAGTACCTTTTTGAGTGATGGGTTAAGTCATCACTGATAAGGAACTGAAGAGGCACATGAGCAAGTAGGTAGCTACTGGATAGACACCGACGAAGAAGAAGAAGGAGAAGAAGAAGAGTGCGTTTACGGGCTGGGCTTAGGGGTGAGATGGATTATGGGCTTGCTGAAACAACCCGAACCGACTATTATTTGTGAGGATGTAAATTTGGGATACGTGGCGGCTTGACGTCCCTTTTTATTCTTTATCACCAAAACTTTTACCCAAAATTTTCTCCCCATTTTTTTTTTTTTGGGAGCAATTTGATTATGGTCACAACGTGTATATATATATATATATATATATATATTTTTTTTTTTTTTTGTGTCAAAATGGTCACTACATATTTCAAGATTAGAAGTTTTCAAGGAGAGGCCACATGAGAAATTTTATTTTAAGCGGAGATGGAATTGTATTTATTGACCTTAATTCAAGAGGAGAATTGTTTCAATTAACTTATGCTAAAAATGAAATGACCGTTAATCTATGTCGAGATATGAAATTATTGATTTAGATGACGTTTTACAATAGTGACGGAAAAAGTTAATGCTTTAGGCAGCATGGTGTGGGTTCGATTCCTTTCTCTATCATTTAACAAGTTAATCTACTAATGCTATCGTATGTCAAAACAAAATTTATGAAAATATCGGTTAAGCTAAATTAAATTTTCTTTGTTCTTGACGGCCAAGATATATTAGATTACACCAATGCAATGGGAGGTTCCTTAGAGAGTTAGTTCTATCATCAATGATGTTCGTGACCTGTCTCAGTCTTTAATCATATTGATTGGAAGCACATTTTTAAGGAGGTAAATTTTGTTGCGGATACTTTAACTCATCTTGGTCTTTCCATTTTTGAATCCTCATGTTTGAGATTTATGTTTACTAGATGCGGCTCTTCTTGCTTTTCAGTATGTTATATTATGTGAAAAATTATATTTAGAGGAGTGTAAATGACCGATTTAGAGTGTCAACAATTCTATTTAAAGTCAAAATTCTATTTGATACTATTCAACACGTGTGTTATAATTTGAGTGAATTCAATGCACCATATCAGTATTTTCACGTTGTATGTTATATGCACCTAATAACTTGTCCCAAAACATAATGCTCACATACCAGCTACCACATGTTATAATCCTAATTTAATCGAAATTTCAGAATTCAAATGTGGAATTTAGGTAAATAGTACAAACATTTCTCAAGGTCCAGATTGATGCATGGAAAAATAGCCTCTTGATTTTTCATTATCCCCAACACTCCACGCTTCCACAACCCTTACCCCATGCATACGGATTTGGATTCCCTTCCGATTCTAATTGTGAGGATTCAAGGGATCAAGTCACCATAGCCGTCCACCACCCATTCTACGGCCACAAATCAAAATTTTTAAATTTTATCTACCTGACATTATGATTTATGGCTGTATAATATGTGGTGAGCGGCTATGATGACTTGATAATTGGATCCCACAATGAGGAGGTATCGGAGGAGATCCAAATCCCATCCATACAATACCATACAATACCATACGGGTCATATCACAATCGGATAGGGCGCCAATACCCCTCCCGCTACTCTCTCTCTCTCTTTTCCTGGGATAAGAAGAAACAATGGCTACAGAGTCAGTGAGAGTGTACAGTTTTAGCTTCAATGGAGGTTCTCAGACTCGGCCGGCCATTTCTCCCTCCCCAGCCCGCTTTCTCGGTCTTCGCCATCGACCCTCTTCTTCCCTCACTTCGTCTTCGCTTTCCCACTTCTTTGGGAATGTTCGTATCAGCTCCCACTCCTCAAAGCTCTCGAATTTGCGCCAGCAGAGCCGAAGAAACCTCTCTGTTTTTGCCATGGCCTCAGAGGGTAGTTTTCTCCTCCTGTTCTTTGTGTTCCTATTGTTTATCTGCCGCTTCCTTGCTGAATTATTGCTCTCTGAATTGTTTTGTGGATTCCCAAATTGTTCAATTTTTGGTTATTTAGTGAGATCTATGTGCATTTTGGTTCAGCCCTTATTTGAAATGAATCGATTTTAATATTTATAACCAAAAATAGTTGATTTTTCTAATTGGGATGATTGTGCCTCTTTTTTTATTTAGAACTTTGATGTTCAAAATTATTCTGGATAAGAAATCGATTTTTGCAGTCAATAGTTATCGTATACGGGTACTTGGGATCGAGTAGAGCATATAAACTTCACTAAACATTCACTGTGAATTTGCAACCACAGCAGAAGTAGCTTAGCTTTCTGTGTTCTTAATATACTCTAATTTAATTCTGGTTTATCGGAATAAGGTAATCGAATGTTTTGTGGTATCGATGTCGTTGTCTAGAACACTTGTATTGATACGAATTCTACCTTTTGGCATGTTGATAAGTGATGTTGTTCTCGACAGTTCAAGGAGATAGCCTTTCCATGGCCATGTAGCTACTTCGTTGCCAGATGAAAACACAATGCTTCTAAATCATATATAACTGAATGGTGCTCCATTTTAATGTATT